TCTCCACAACATGTACAGTATCAAAGAGAAATCTGAAACCCAATAAATATTGGGTCACTCAGCAAAAATTGTGATTTAATATAAGATTCCATTCTTACAAAATAAATCCATGGTCAAGGGCACTGGAGGCTGGAAGGAGGTGAAACTCTGTGCCTCAGTGGAAGGCTGCAGCATTAAGTGCCCCTTCAGCTCTGCCTCATTGCCTTTCTTCAAACCCATGAAAATCTCCACCATGATGTCTCAAAATTTGTCTACTGGGATAGTATTAAATAAAACAATATGTGGATGCTAGTTCACTAAGGCAGGTGGCACTAGGGAAGAATAGTGTTAGCTTAGAGTAGGCAGAGGGAAGGGATGTGGGGATAGGAAAGACAGTGGAATGAAGCAGATATTATTGAGTGTATATAGTGACTGCATGACCAATGTGATTCTGCAACATGTACACTCAGAAAACTCAGAAATTATATCCCATCTATGTATGATATATCAAAGTGCAGAAATGCATTCTACAGTCATGTGTAACTAATTAAAACAAAGTTTAAAATCTTTAAAAAACAAGAAAAAAGAGGGTCTCTATGTCCAAAGCATGGACATAGAAAGACACTAATTTAATTTGTCTCTACTCCCATGGACAATTCTAATAGGAGGGTCAGAAATAAATGGCCCATTCAGAAATAGGAAAACTGTCACTCCAGGTCACAGGATGTATGAGTTCAGTGGCATGCAGATTAACCTAGTCATTACTAACAGCAATAATAATATCCAGGTTTTATTCTTCCCAAAATTTATTTATATATGCCATATTTTCACATGAGAGCAATAAGTATCTACTTAATTCTGACTCACTGCAGTTGCATCAACTAGAAATCATCTCAAGAGGACAAGGCTGAATTGGGAGACACTAGTAACACTAGTGACCTCTTTTTACACTGACACTGCACATTAAATATTTTTATTCATTCCCAGAAGACAGTTTTCAGCATAGGTCTACAGTTCTTAACCAGGGGTCTATTACAAAAATGTTTCCAGCTGCATGAGCAGGGATGAAAACAAGACCTGAACTTAGGTCTGCTTTGAGATTCAGCAGCCTGTTTTCCAGCATGGAGGGGCATGTGGTGAGCTCATGCAGGTTCTGGAGGGGCCCAAGAGTGGATCTGTGCTGAATGATCATCAGCCTCCCTACTGTGACCTCTCCAGTGACCTGTGGCTGTTCTTCCATGGTGCATGCAACAGGTGCCCCGCATTGCTCTGCCCTGTGATCCCCAGGAGTCCCACAAGGAAAAGCACAGAGGACAAAGCTCTTTCTGCAGTGACAGGGAAGAGGAAGGGCTGTTTGGCTTGCTAATGGAACAGCCTTCCAGGATCCTCATGTGGTGCCCTGTGTCCATGGTCAGAAAGCGCAAAGCAAACAGGGCTGCATTTTTTCATACTAACAAAGGAGTATAAGTTACATAAGTAAAACACATTTCTTCATTTTCTATACAATAATAATAATAATAATGAGGAAACATATAACTAAAGTGAGATGGTGCACATGAAATGAAACAATTGACACAGAGCACATTGCTCAGCCCTGAGCCTGGGAAGCCCTGCACCTCAGTTCATGGTGCTCTGCCTTCTGTCCTCCTCATCATCATCTTCATCACCACCACCCTAGCCCTTCATAGAGCTTAGGAAACACTTCTGAGGACCCATTTTGTGCAGTTGTGGGTGAGATTTCTGTGTTAGAACCAGTGTGGGTGGAGAGCACATTTTGAATAACATTTCTCATCTCCCAACCAGAAACAAAAGCATGAACCCCACAACCCCAAGTTGAACATGCATGTGGTGTCCTCCCACCTGGCGACTCTGTGGTGTTTGTCCCTGTGCTGAGGTAACACTGCTTCCCCAGTCCTTCCCACATCCAAGGCCCCCTCTGCACTTACTGGGTCATGCTGCTTCCCTGCAGGGTCATGACCAAGAAGTGCTGATCCTGAGACCCTACCAAGTGTGGAGCCCAGGGAAGGATCAACTGTGTCCACAGAACAGATCGTGTGCTCAGGAGCTTCCTGATGCAGACACCCCAGGAGGAGAGACGGCTACACAGGTCAAGGGACAATGCCATCAACTGAAGGACTACAAGCACAGGCTGAGTGAGGACTATTATATGACCTTGGAAGATGAATACAGAGATTATAATTAGACTAATTGGTCCACGATCTCAATCTCCAAGGACTTCCCATTGTTAATGGGGAAGACAAAGAAAATCCACTTCCACATGAATTTTAAACCTCAAAACTAATGATGAGCTCAGCTGTGTGTTTACTACTTTCATTTCTATAATTTTAAAGGTACATCTGTTTTCAAGGCCCATTCTTTTTTAATTTTTATTTTTTATTTGTTTTAATTAGTTACCCATGACAGTACAAGGTCCATTCTTATTAGGGTAGAATGCAAATAGCAAAAATTGCCATGAGAACCAAACTAAGTATACCCTTCAGTGGTAATTACTTTGTCGCTACGGGGGTTTTTGTATGCTTGTTTTTAAAGTTTTGGGGGGATTGTTGATAGACCCTTATTTTATTTATTTAAATGCAGTGCTAAGAATTGAACCCAGTGCCTCACTCATACTAGGCAAGTGTTCTACTACTGAGCCAAAGCCCCAGGCCCTGTTTCTTTTCTTTTCTTTTTTTAACTTTAACATTCATTCATCAGGAAAATAGTGAATCTATTGAAGAATGCAATTGTCAATGGGCACTGCAGCATTGGAATTAGGTGAAACTCTAAAGTGTGTCTAAGACCAAGCTCTAAGGTCTCCTGTAATTCCCCTTTGTACCTATTTTGTTTGTCATAGGCCTGTGAACATCTCTGCCATTGTTTGTGAGCAACTGAATGATGTATATGCTGTGAAGGGGAAGTATGGGGCTCATGTGTCCATGACACAGACACAGACAAGAGGTACTCAATCTTGTCACTGCCTCTGAGGGACATTCCTAAGTGGAATGAAGGTACAGAGAGAGCCCCAGTGTGTTGAAACCCCACTGAGTATGGCCAGGACCTGTGCACAGAGCAGGGTCTACCCAATTATTAAAACTTTTTTTTAAATTTTTTATTCTTTTAACTCCTTGTGCCAAACATGGTATGGACTCTTTGATACCAGAAGTGAAAGAGTTGGTCATTTTATCACAAATATACATCATATAACTACAGAGGGGTATTTTGGAAATGTGAAACCAGTAAATTTAGGTCACAAGATATTTTAATAGTATGAAGATTAGCATTTCCATATTATTAATAACTATCTAGGTCATATTTGTCCATATTTTATATCTTCTCTCATATTAATCACATAGGGAGCTCAAGTTTGCTCATTAATCTGGATTCAGTGACATTGTATCAACAAGAAATCATCTTGGATGACATTGCTGAGTAACAGAGACACTAACAACCTGCCCCAAGTTTACAAAGAACCAGCTGAGACAACAGAAACTGAAATGAAATCATGAATCTCAGTGTGAGATGTTAATCTTTTCACTGTTTTCCATCCATCACAATATTTTAAGCTGAATCCAGAGGTCTTAGCTGCATGCACCTACCATATACAGTCTTAATCCCTTCCAAATCCCTGAGTAGTCATGAAATCATGACGTGTTTTGCTTCCTCCCAAGAAGAGGGCTGATTCCCAGAATTCAGGAGGATGTGGCAGCTGCAAGGGTGTCCTGCAGAGGGGGACACAGGGAACTCTGGGCTGGTTGATTTGTGCTGATTTAACCTTAGATTGTCGTCTCCTTTAAGCCACTTTTCCAGAATTAGTGCAAGTGTTAGTCCTGGGATCTATTGGAAATCCCAAGTGAAGGGCACAGAAAAATAGAGTCCCACTCTGAAGGGACAGAAAAATGAAACAGGGTTGCTTGTGGAAAGGTATAATCTGCCAGCACTGTCCTGCCAAGATGCCACGTGTCACAAATCCTCAGTGCATTTCACACATAGTTTCAGTTATTTGACTTAAACTGCTAGCCCAAGTTACAAAAATATCTGATCCTCTCTACTCTGTCAAATACAATAACCTGGCACTTATATCTTGGTGAAGATTTTGCAGAAGAATTTGACAATCTACAAATAGCACACAGTTCAGTGCCTGGCACTCAGGGATGTCTCATGGAAGGATGATATGTTTGTGTGCTATCCTCATCCAGGTCCACCTCATCATCAGCAGCTTCATAAAGGTGATAAGGTCACTGTGAAGGAGCACATTCCCTCCATGTGGACGACAGTGTGTGGTAAGAAGGACCAGTGTGGGAGGAAAGGAAAACTGTAGTGAGATGGCCGCCATGCTCACCACCACCGTGGATGTCACACATATGCCTCGACTCTCAGTCCCCATGACTGACACTGTGCAGAGCTCTCCCCTCCGGGAAGCCACACTGCATGTTGGTCCTTCCTCCATCCTCACCTCCCTCAGCAGTTACCTATTTACAGGGCTCAGGTGGTCGTGACTAAGGAGACTGGATTCCGCATGGCTGGTACCCAGGGGCCTCCCACCTCATCTTTAGGGCTGACATCTGTGCACACTCAGGTAGGGGCTTCCTAAGACACAACCATTGTGAGAAGAAACACAGTGTGGGGCACACTGACTGGAGCCAACAAGCTGAAAGGCTAGAGGCACAGGCTGCTCATTGACTATGGTGTGACCTTGGAGGCTCAAAGCATAGAACTCCTGACTGGCCAATAGGTGAGCACATCACAAACTAAGGACTTCCTGACAGCAATGGTGGAAGATTAAGGGTAGAAAATGAACATCAACTGATGTTTTTCAGTAATTCTTTGCAAAAAAAAGTCCATTTTCACTCTTGAATTCTTTTATTATTTTTTTTTCACAAAAGAGAGAGAATTTTAATATTTATTTTTTAGTTTTCTGTGGACAGAACATCTTTGTTTGTATGTCGTGCTGAGGATCGAACCCAGGCCACATGCATGCCAGGTGAGCGCACTACCGCTTAAGCCACATCCCCATCCCCATCTTTAATTAGCTTCCCAAGAACATTTTCATTATGTATTTTTACATTATAAATACTTGCCATTATTGTCATCATCAATAGCATAGTTTAATGGCATTAAATATAGACTTTGTTGTGATACAATAACCATCATCCAGATCCAACATTCTTCATATTACCACTATTAATTCTTATTCCCAATAGAAATACTTTTCAAATTTGCCACCCAACATAGTCTGTACCATTCTACTATGGAACTCTATGGGAAATTAACACATAAGGGGTATATTTAGCTTCACTGCATTTTCCCACACACATTGCAATCAGACTCCATAGGGACAAAGATCAGCCTCCTCAAGGCCCTTTTAATATCCCTGTTCCTCAAGCTGTAGATGAAGGGGTTCAACATGGGGGTGACCACAGTGTACATCACAGAAGCCACCACATCCTTTCTGGGATAATGTGATGCAGCTGAACCAAGGTACACTGCAGTACTTGTTCCTAAAAATAAGCAAACACCTGCCAGGTGAGAGCCACAGGTGGAGAAGGCTTTGTACTTCCCACCTAAAGAGGGGATTCTCAGAAGAGAGGACATAATTTTATAGTAAGAGAAAAGTATTCCTGAGATGGGAAGAAGACCATATACAGCAGCAAGAAAATACTTGCCGATGTTATTAGAGAAGATGTCAGTGCAGGAAAGATTCAGAAGTACAGAAGGGTCACAGAAGAAACTGGAAATTTCCACATTCTTGAAGTTGGTAATTTGTAAGATCATCAAATTGTGCAGCTGAGAGTCCAAGAGACTCAACAAAAATGACACCAAAATTGAGAAGCCACAGAGGCGAGGGTTCATAATGACTGTATAATGCAGGGGGTGACAGATGGCCACAAACCTGTCATAGGCCATGACAGTCAGAAGCATATAATCCATACAAATAAAAATGGCAAAAAGAGACATCTGTGTCAAGCATCCTACATAGGATACAAGTTCATTGTGAGTTTGAATGTTTACAATCATGTTTGGGACCGTGGTGGAGATGAAGCCGATGTCAGCCAAGGACAGGTTGGAGAGGAAGAAGTACATGGGGGTGTGGAGGTGGGGGTCAGAGCTGACAGCCAGAACGATGAGCAGATTCCCAAGCACCGTGACCAGGTACATGGACAGGAACAGTCCAAAGAGGATGGGCTGCAGGTCTGGATCCTCTGAGAGGCTCAGGAGTTGGAATTCAGAGACACGGGTTACGTTTTGTGCTAGTATACTGCTTGAACACCTTTTGAAAAAATAAAGTAGGTGTTAAAAAAATACGTATACAGGCACCCATTATTCTGTAAGCATTTGAATTTAAGTATGTACAAGGAAGCTGCTCACACTTTAGGTCCATACTCCTTCAACAACAGTTGTCAGTAGTCAGACACCCAGTCTTTACATACTCTTTCATTCTTTCTCCATTATTCACCCCTCTTTACATACTCACATTTGCAGCATTTTCATAAGCAAAGTTAGAAATCCAGGAGCAGAGGAGAGAAGAAGTTCATGATCACAATGAAGTATAGCATACTGTTTAAGAAAAATCAGGTAATAAGTAATGACTTTCCTGTAAGATAAATTAGGAAGCAGTTGATATACCACATTCGGTTTTAAGGCCTTGGAACAAATTCCTTTGAGAAGAATTTTGTGACTGTAATGACTGCTTTTCCTGACAATTAAATCAAGGGGGATGCATCATAACCAGAAAGCAGTATATGATCCATTTTCTGCAAGGGGTCTCATCATTCGTTGATCTTCTCATTTGCCTCCATTGTGCATATTTCTCTTTAAAAATTATATAACATGAAATAAGAAACCTTGCCACTGATAAACTTCAGATTTGATAAACATGATTGAGTCAGTGCACGTAATCAATAATAACACTAACCACATATGTGGCACTGGTGTGCAGTGTACCTGTCAAAAATTTTTAAATCCTTGTGTCTAAAATCTCATTTGAGTAGTTTTGTTTCACGCAGGTTTATTGTGTCAACCAATACAATATCAGCAAAGCACCTGTTATATAAAATGGCACTTAACTTTTTTTCTTTTTCTTGATCCTGTACTTCCTCTAGCCTGCCAAAACTGCTTCATGGTTTTATGATCTCAATCCATCAAGTTTATTGTTTATAATCTAAGAAAAAAGAAAGTCCTTAAACTCAAGTTTTATTTCTAATCTTCGTATTTCTTCATGGATTTTCTGGTCAGTCATTCCTGACACCTTGATTTCAATTCTCTTACTTAGGCTACATGAAGTTCACTTGGGTTCATTTTCATTTTACACCATGATTGAATTGGATACAGCACAAAACAGAATATAATAATAAATAATAAAACAACTTCTTCAAAACTTTCTCAACTGTAAATTGGGGTAATATTCACAACCTTGTATGGTTCTCATCAGGAAATTACTTTAACAAATCATTTAAGCTGCATAACTTGTAATTCTCTCCCACTATTAAGTGTCCCTGTGTATATCTTAGAATATCTATGCACAGTGATGTCAGACCAACACCAACTGTATCTGAATGTCCACATGTGAAGTTCTCCAGGGTCCTTTCTTATACCAGATTTGATATCCATTGTCTAACAACATCCTGACTTGGAACATACTCCATGAGTATTATCTACTCTGCTTGTCTATAATACCCATTACCTATATTAAAATATGTTAATCTGATAATACTTGTGCCAGGACTAACATTGGCAAGAGATCTGAATCATTATATAACAAATTTGAATTTTGGTATCTCTGCCTGATTCCATTCTCCTGCAAACCTGTCTCCCAGACACATTACTGTCATGAAATAGGGAGGTGTAATTTTCTGTTGGTATTTTCATTTCAGGATTATATACCATAAAATTTCCTTTACAAAATTGCTTTAAAAGTACCTAAAAATACTCATCTAAGTATTCTGCAAAAAAATGCCTATTGCCCATGAAAATACACCAGGTTACATTAACCTGAGGTGATAATTCCTCTGTGAAGTACATTTCTCTTCTTCAGTGTTTATCTGATGCAAAGTGCTACCTGAAGAAATAACACTGTCATTTAGTTAGAGAGTTTATTAATATGGCAATGATTTCAAAATCCTCCTGCCAATTGATTCATCACTCAAATAAGAATATGCTTGCTTTGGCAACACATATATTAAATTGGAATATAACAGAGAAGATTAGCATGGCCCCTGCTCAAGGATGACATGCAAATTCATGAAGTGTTCCATATTAAAAAAGAAAAGAATGTTCCATAATGTCTTGGTTGGGGATATGAGTCTGATTTACAATGGGAAAAAATAAATGTTGAAATTTGCTATTAATGGCTTATTTTTGTGTCCCTATAAGAGCAGACAATATCACCTACATCTTCTCAATCCTGATATGTATCAGCAAAATGAAGCATCAGCCCAAGTAGTAATATGCTGTCCTTGAAGACTCCTGAAGAAATTTCAACTCTTGCAGGGAACATTGTTTCCCTCTGGCTGCAGCGGAAGAGCTGGTGCCCTGGGCTGGAGTCAGGAAGGCAGCATTTCAGACCCACATCCCACCTGCCAGTGTGTGTACAGTGTGTGAATCTCTCTCCTCTCCCTTCTCACTGCTTAAGGGAAACACAGATTATAACACCATCCCCACAACATGTGCAGCATCAAAGGGAAATTTGAAACTCAATAAATATTGGGTCACTAGGATTTCAATAAACAAATTCCATGATAAGGTAACTAGCAGCATTATGGAGGAAAGCCACAGTCAAGGGCACTGAGGCTGGAATTAGGTGAATCTCTGACCTGTGCCTCATGGAAGGCTCCAGTGTTTAGTGCCTTCAGCTTCTGCCTCATTGCTACTTTTCAAATCCATGAAGATTTCCATCATGATTTCTGAAACTTTTTCTATTGTGGATGATATTAAATAAAACTAAATGGTCCCTATATCCAAAACATGGACAGAGAAAGACACTATTTTAACTTCCATGGGCACTGCTAAAAGGAATGAAGGTTCAGACAGGCAGAAACAAGTCTGACCATCCATATTCATTTGGTCAATTTAGGACAGAAAGGATGGGTGGGTTTAATGTCCAACAGATTTGCTCTAGATGCCTCCTGTGCCAAGCAGAGCATGGACCTGGAGTGTAAGAAATAGGGAAAAGAAAACTGTTCTAAAATGCACAGCACATGTATCTGTAAGGGCAAAAATAATGTGTCTCATCCAGAAACAGAAAAACGGTCACTTCAGACCACTGAATGCATCTGTTGAGTGGCATGAGGATCAACCTAGTCTGCTAACAGTAACAATAATGTCTAGAAATTTTTGCCCAGAGTTTACTCACATATCTCATAGTCTACACAGAATAGCACCAAGTATCTATTTATCTTTACTCATTGCAGTTGCATCAGTGGGAAATCAGCTCAGATGGCAAGGCTGACTCTAGACCGCCTTGAAAATAGGGACTGCCTTAACAGACACAGGTATTGGGAATGACAGACTCTAAAATGGATCAACAATATTTTTTTTTAACTTTCCCACTTAACAGTTTTCAGCCTAAGTCCACAGATCTTAACCACTGGTAAATCTCAGGTACATTTTACAACTCTTTCCAGTTTTTTGAGTGGGAATGAAATCAAGACCTAACATTAGGTTCCCTCTGAGATTGAGAGGGCTGTTTTCATCCCTGGAAGAGCATGTGGTGAGCTCAAGGAGGCTATGGAGGGAGGCCAGGAGCATGATTTATGCTGAATGGCCATGAGCCTCTCTTACTGATCTCTCCTGTGACCTGTGGCTGTTCTTCCATTGTGCATGCAGCAGACAGACAGACAGACAGACAGACACACACACACACACACACACACACACACACACACACTGCTCTGCCCTGTGATCCCCAGGAATCCCACAGGAAAAGCACCGAGAGCAAGGCTCTCTTTCTGCACTGACAGGGTAGAGAAATGGCTGCTGGGCTTGCTGATGGGACAGCCTGCCAGGGTTCTCCTGTGATGGCCTGTGTCCATGGCCAGACAGCCCAGTGCAAATAAGGCTGCATCTTTTTCTATCTAGCTAAGGAGTAAAATTTACATATGTAAAACACAATCCTTCCTTTTCTATGTAATAATAATGAAGTGTATATACATAACTAAAGTGAGATGGTGCTACATTAAATGATATAGAACAAGTTCCTCAGCACCTGAGCCTGGGAAGCCCTGCACCTCAGTTCATGGTGCTCTGGCTTCTGTCATCCTCATCATCACCCTTATCACATCCCTAGTCCTTTCTCAGAGCTTAGGAAACACTTCTGAAGAACTCATTTTGTACTGTTGTGGGTGAGATTTCTGTGTGAATTAGGACCAGTGTGGGTGGAGAGCACATTTTGAATTTTCATCTCCCCACCTGAGACAAAAGCTTGAACCCCACAACCCCAAGGTTGAAGCTGCACGCTGGTGTCCTCCCATGTGGCTACTCTGAGGTGAGTGTCCCTATGCTGAGGCAACACTACCCCAACAGTCCTTCCCACTTCCAGGGACCACACTGTACTTACTGGGTTACGCTGCTTCCCTGCAGGGTCATGACCAAAAAGTGCTGACCCTGAGACCCTACCATGTGTGGAGCCCAGGGAAGGAACAACTGTGTCCACAGGAACAGATCATGTGCTCAGGAGTTTCCTGATGCAGACACCTCAGGAGGAGGCATGGCCATGCAGCTCACTGGACAAGAACCATCAACTGAAGGACGACAAGCACATTCTGAGTGAGGACTATATATGACCTTGGAAGATCAATACACAGAGCTCATAATTAGATTAGACTAATTGGTCCATGAAATGCCCATCTCCAAGCATTTTCTATTATCATCAATGGGTAAGGCAAAGAAAATAATTTTGGTCCCCCACACTAATGAGGAGCTCACCTGTGTATTTATTCAATGTACTTCTTTCCCTTGTCAGACTTAAAAATATATCTGCTTGTAAGATGTATTATTATTAAAGTATAAGGAGCAAAAATTTGCTGTGGGAACATTAATAAGTATATACTTCTGTGACATTAACTTAATCACTTTTTAAAATTAAGCATTTAGTCATCAAGATAATAGTGGGCCTACTGATCAATACGATTTTCAAAGGATGACTTTGCAATATTGGAATGATGTGAAACTCTAAAATGCTCTGAGTGACTCCTGTCACTTCCCTTCACTCCAACTTTGCTTTCCCTGGGCTCACAGACATCTCTGCCATTGTTCTTGAGTCATTGAAGGTTGTAGAAGCTGTTAAGGGAAAGTATGGGGCTCCTGTGTCCATGACACAGACACAAACCAGAGCTGCTCCATCTTGTCTCTGGCTCTGTGGGATGTACCTGAGTAGGAGAAAGGTACAGACAGGAGAGCACCAGTGTTGGAACCCAGCTGAGAAAAGCCAGGATCTGTGCACAGAGCAAGGGTCTACTCAGTGTTTAACACATTTTTTTTTCATCTCCTGTGTCAAAGATAGTATAGGCTGTATGGAATCAAAAATGAAAGGGGGATGGTTATTCCACCCAAATATACAG